GTTCTATCAAGTCACTTGCAACTCATAGAGACCCTATGTACAATAGCCCTAAACTCTGCTCTGTCCTATGCCAATCGCACTGTCTCTGACATTCCCATCCTGATTACCCCAGTCACTGAATCAATCCACCTCATAGAGGGTCTTTCCCTCCTGTGCTGTCCCTCCATCCTACGAAGCAGCGTGATGTCCCTCTCCAAGCACCAGTCCATCCTTACAACATGTCCAAAGCATGTTAGATGAAGCCTCAGAATCCTTGCCTCTAAGGAACAGCCCAGTTGAACCCTCTCCAGGACGAACCTGTTTGTTTTCCTAGCAGTCCATGGTACCCTCAATACTCTTCTCCAGCACCACAACTCAAAGGTATCAATTCTCCTTCTATCCTCCCTACTCATTGTCCAAATCTCTGATGCATAACAAGTGATTGCAAAGACCATGGCCTGTATCAGACGCACCTTTGTCTCCAGAGAGACACCATTGCTCTTCATTACTTTGGAAAGGTCCCTAACAGCAGACTTTCCCATCGCAATACATCTTTTAATTTCCTGGCTGCTGGTGCCAAGAGTGTTGACTGTGGAGCTAAAGCAAACTAAAGCTGTGAACAATCTCAATCTCTTCACCATCCATCCTGATGCTGCCAATTGGTCCAGTGGTGAGAATCTTTGTCTTCTTGACATTGAGCTTCAATCCATATTGTAGGCTGCAGTCCTTGACCCTCTGCAGCAAACACTTCAGGTCCTCCTCAGTTTCAGCAAGCAGGGTTGTGTCATCTGCATAATGCAGATTGTTGATAGATTTTCCACCAATCCTGACACCACATTTCTTTCATAGAGCCCAGCCTCCCAGATAATCTGTTCTCCATACAGATTGAAAAGGTATGGAGACAGGATGCATCCAGGATGCATCCCTGGCATACACCCTTCCCAATTTTGAACCATGCAGTGTTCCCTTGCTCTGTTCTGAAGACTGCCTCTTGGTCCAAGTATAGGTTTCTCATTAGCACGATCAAGTGTTCTGGGATTCCCATTCTTCTCAGAGTCAGCCACAGCTTGTTATGATCCATAGCAAGTAACAAATGTTGAAGAGGATGTGGCAGGATAGGAACTCCTATACATTTTTGGTGGGATTATACAATGGTACAATCAATCTGTAATAAACTGAACATAGAAATTCCATATGACTCAGCTATTCCATTGTTTGGAATCTACCCCAAGAAAATGAGAACTAAGGCTCAAATGGAAATGTGTACACCAATGTTCATAGCAGCATTATTCACCATCACAAGAACATGGAAACAGCCCAGATGTCCAGCCACAAACAAATGCATTGAGGAGTTGTGGTACATTCATACAATCAGCACACAGGAGCAATGATTTTGTAAATTACTACCTAACTTGGGAGTGACTGGAGAGAATTATGTTGAGGAACTAACTTGGTCCCACAAGGACAAATACTTTATAAAACCATTATTGTAGAATGAGTATGAGGATCCAGGGGGAGGGGGAGGGTGGAAATAAAGGGGGTAGAATGGTGGGGGAGGGTGTTAATCATAGGGTTACAGAATTCGATGGATGGGGTGAAGGAAATGGGAAGGATCTTTTGTAAAAAACAATGTATTCAAACTTTGTAAATTAATCAGAATAAAATTTTTTTAAAAATTTTTTAAAGTTGACTTTGTTGTTAATTGATTTGTCAGTGTGGCTTATAAACTACAGATGTATAAAAAATATGAAACAGCATTCTAATCAGCAGTTCTACATTTAACCATAAAATCTTGCATTCTTAATTAAAAAGATTATTGAAGGAATGCATGTTTAAACATTAAATTTACATATTTATAACTGGATTTTTTTTTTTAAAAGTTACACTGCTAACCCAAAGGCCATACTCCTATGGTGGGTCAAGTCCATCAGATTCTCCAAGAAAGCAAGATGAGCTATGCAACCTATAGTCTCAGGAAGCAAGTAAGAGGATCAGCTACATGTTGGTTCCAACTCAACAGCCATGAGTCAGACTCTGAGTAGGCCTGGAAGTTACTAGCAAAAGACATTTAAACATCACTGAAAAGAGATATTCAGCAAATGCTAAAGAACAAGTCTTGATGAAGCCTGAGAAAGTCTGCCTTCTAATAAAAGAAACAGATCTTATTCCTCATGTTAATGTTAAAGAGGCTCTTGGATGTGTTTGAAGAATGCCATTCTGTACTTGATTTTACATGTTTTGCTAGAAAGATTAACGGAACAATATATTTGTAATGACTTTAAGAAATTAACCAACTCTTACTTTTTAAGATAAAGGTCTAGAGTTCAAAGAGATGAAAGGGCTAGAAATTAATTGCTCTATAAATCAGACCCTCTTGGAGAGTTTGCAGTCTGATGATGGAGTCAGAAAATTATAAAGAGATTGATTTTAGTAGAGTGCAATATGCACTTAAAATTCATACAGCACATGAAATAAATGGATTATTTAAGCCTGAAAAGTCAAGAAAGTAAAATAAGCCTCTATCTTTAAATGTGGGTTATATTTCTTATTCCTTTTTATTCCTGCTTGATACATAGCTGTTGTTGTTGTTGTTTAGTGTCATCGAATTGAGTATAACACATAGCAACCCTATGAACAACAGCCCTGAACCCCATCCTCTCTTGTGCCATCCTCATCATCTCTGATGCACTAGAGGCCATTGCTGCAGTCACTGTGTCAATACATCTTGCTGAGAATCTTCCTCTCTTTTGCGGACCCTCCACCTTTCCAAGCATGATGTCCCCTTCCAAGAAACAGCTTCTCGTAGCAACAGGCCCGAAGTATGAGAGACAGTCTTCACTGTCTTTGCCTCCAAGGAGCACTCTGGCTTCACTTTTCCAAGACATTTTTTTATTCTTTTGGCAGCCCATGGGATATTCATTACCCTTCTCCAGTACCACAACAAGGATGACAGAGAAGAATTGATGTCTTTGAGTTGTGTTGATATAGTAGGCAAATCTTGGTCAGACAAATGGCTATATACATATACAAATGGGAAAGCCAAACATCTGGAACTAAATATTGTCTTAAAAATTAGTTCTCTTTATTCTGCTTCTTGAGTTGGCAACTATTTCCTCTTGGCTGGGACAGTAAAACCAACCAAACAAACAAAAAACCACCAAAAACCAACCCATTGTCATCGAGTCAAAATGAACTCATACCTGACTCTCAAGCATTTTTCAATCCACAGGAAGAGACTGCCCATCTTTCTCCAGTGGAGCCACTGGTGGACTTAACACCACCACATAGGTGCCGCCTGTGGATTAGCAACCCAACTCCCTATGGCCAAAGCCACCAGAGCTCCCTCTGGGAACAGTAGGAAGTTGCAAAAGATTCTTCCTGCCAATGCCTCTTCAGTACACACTCCTATCTCCTTATCTCTACAGCCTAACTCCTTCTGTCCAGTTTTGATTGGCATTTGCATGGATTTTACTTTGCCTTTGTTTTCTGGCACCCCTAATTTTCCATTCATGATTGTATTTGGTATGGATGTTTTCGGAGTGAGGAACTCTGTTGAGAAGTTAGGTCTGGAATTCAGGATCCTCATCCTAAACATTATTCTATGGCATGTTGTGGTTAGGTGTTGTCAAGTATGACTCATAGTGGCCAAACAAACAACAGACCTGAACCTAGTCCTGTCTCGTGCCACCCTCATCATTTCTGACCCACGTGAGCCCATTACTGCAGTCACCATGTCAGTTGTATTTTCGATTCTACCCTTTCCATTGCTCTAAGAGCTCTGAAAGATCTGACAGTAGAATTTCAATAACTCTAAAGGTAAGGTAAAGCAGAGTGCAAGAGAGCAATATCTTTACTTTCATTCCGTGTAATTTAGTCTCTCGATATTTCTTTCCATCCAACACTTCATTCCTAACTACAAAATATTGGACCGATTAAGCCTTCATTACCATCTTTTATCACTTCAGGAGAGAACTGAGGAAACAGTGTAGAGCAAAATTGACTCAAATGTTAGCTATATACCTTCCTAATTATGTAATCACAGACAGGTAAGTAAACATCTAGGGTTCTTATACCTGTAATATGAGAATAACATTACCTACTATCCAGGGTTAATAGTAGGGATTAAGTTAAATACAGTAGCACCTAACAGAAGAACAAGCACATAGGAGGTATTCCATAAAAACTACTCCCTTCCTTATTTTTTAATTAATTTTTTTAATGTCCATTCTCATTTCAGAATAATTTACAATAGAAAAGAGATGGAAACAACCCAAATGCCATACACAGATGAATAAAGAAACTGGGTTACATTCTCACACACACAAGACAAACAAACAAACAACCCATTTCCTTCCTTCCATTATATAGTACTTTTTGGGGGAACCACACCACCCAGAAGACACAGAGTGAGATCAGATATCCTTTCCTGGTCTTTCTCCAGTGCCAGAGATGGGGTGATTCCAGTAAGTGACTTCTTGTTATACAGGATCCTCCAGCAAATTTTCAGAGGCAGTAAATCACACAAGAGTTGACTGCACATATTTCTGCCATGGAGCTGCTGGTGGATTCAAATCATGTGGCTTTGGGTTGATCGTGCAACTCCTTACCCACTAGGCCACCAGAGCTTCCCTCCCTAGTATGTGACTTAATATGGCTCAATAATCCAAAGTCATCAGTATCGAGCTGTTGCTCAGAGAAGGTAGCACAGCTTACTGAGCCAACTCAGGAGATCCAAACGGAAATATAGTCCTTTACATCACTTCTACCATGACAGGAAATTGGACAAACTTGTGTTAGCCTTGTCTTTGCTGTCTTCTCATCTGTAAACACATCAGATGAAATTCTTTCTACCCTGATGGAGGGACTAGAAGAATTCTGTTTTGAAATAAGCTGTCATGGCTGATCACATTATTTTTCAATGTGAGTTTCTGCTAGAAGGTTTAATAAATGTTAAGAAAATATTTCTTTCCCCAAACTCTCACACAGGACAAAGAAAGACTTGTTGAACACTGGCATCTTACCTTAACTTTTTCACCATTAATCTCCACTGTCTTAATCATAAAATCAACTCCAATTGTGGCTCCTTGACCTGGGGGGAAAAGACCCTAAAGAAGGAACAGAAAATAAGTTATCTAAATATTGCCATTAAGTTCAGTACTACCCCCACCAACACCTGGCCTTCCTTCTCAGCTAAACTGGCAGAAAAGAGAGCCCTGGTTAGTGTCACAGGAGCCCTGTTAATTTAACTTTGTGTGTATGTTTAGTGGGGAGGAGGGAGGAAAGAGCAGGAAAATTAGTCATTAAAAGGAGTGAGAAAAGACAAGGTGAAAAAGATGGAGCAGTTAGTGAACCGCCTGCTGTCATTGGGTTGGCAGCACAACTCCTTAACACTAGGCCACCAGAGCTCCGTGGCTATGTACATATATGTATATATTATATACACATGTAATTACATGATTTCAGAGCCAATGACTCTAGGAAGAAAATAGTAAAGGACACAATATGGTTGAAATGGAACTGAAAAAAGAGGCAGCAGCCTTAGAATCTCTATGTGCCCTAAGGCCAATGACTCCTCTCCGGGCATCAGAATCATGCTCTTAAATTGGGAGGAGGTGGTCATTTTAAGAAAATGAGGCAAAGAGAAGACTATCTCTAAATTACCCTCCAAATCAAAGGTCCTTTCATTCAGTGAGAATAAAGCAGATGCGAGCATTTCAACATTAAAACAGCTTTCCTTCAAGCTGGAAGCTTAACTAGAACAACAGCATTTTAGCAAAATTTACATATCATTTACTATTACACAATATTTCCTTGGAGAAAGGATTGGTGGTAGGAAAGAATTCTAACAAGAACTTTAATTTCCTTTCTTTCATCCATTGCATTTTGGAATTTCCAAAAATTAAATATAGTATACTCCTATATGTTCATACTGTGTATTGTGAAGTGATGTACACCTTACATGGGGTTTTGTAACTCCCTGTGCATTGATTTCTTGTGTCTACTGTGCATGTTATATGTGTGTACATATCATTTACATGGGCATATTGTACACAAAACATGGTAGCTTTCTGGCAGCTAAAACTGGGGCATCTCTAAATCCATCCCCTAGGAAGAGGATTCTTTAATTAAAGTTTGAATATTAGTCTGATATTTAAACCAACAGAAAATGTTCCATTGCATGTCTGCACAAGATATGATAAACACTCATAATTTTACTTACGAATATTGAATTAATTTCCCTCTTTTTTGGTTTGACTCTGTCACTGACCTGTCAGACTTTAAGCTGGTCGCTCCAGCTGTTTTGCAGGCTATTAAGTATCAAAAAAGTAAAACAATTCCTTCCCAATGTTTTGCTTGGTGTTTTGTTCCTCAACCCCCAAAATTCTAAAACAGCTGAATCCAAGATATTTGAACTGCTCACGAAATAACCAAAGCGAGCATAAATCCCATCTATGAAGCAAAAATTTTGGGGAGTTAAGGGCCTGGGATGTGTTAAAAGTGGCCAGAAAAGAAAAATTTGGTAGACATGCTGGCAAATAGCAAATTTCCTTTTTTAAAGTAAAAATACTTTTTGATGACAAACTTTATGCTTTTAAAAAAGAAAGTCAGATTCCTATGGTCTCTGAGATTAAAGCATGCAGAAGAGAAAATTATCAGATGGACAACCAGCAGCTATGGATTCTAATAATGGCTCTACCACTTACATAATGTGAGATCCTAAGCAAATTGTTCTTTTTCTCTAGACTCAAATTTTCTTTTTTTTTTAGACTCGAATTTTCATCCACAGAATGAGAAGAGTGGATGGGAACATCTCTAAGGCTTTTCAGTAACAAAGCCAAGGGAATTTTTGATAAGGGGATTGAACGTTTCTCCATGTCACAGCAGACTTGTGTCCTCCTGCCACAAACAGAAAAGAATACTTATTTCAGGTAGAAATAAAACCAGTTGGAGTTTCTAATATAATTATACCATAGTTGTCTAAACCTAGGTGCCTATTAGCTTTATACTTTATAAAAGGCAGGAGTTCTAGTCTGTGTTCATTTAACTTCAGAAACCCCTAGCATTTCTGAAGGTGATTCTTGGCCTAGAGCTGTTTGTGTATCCAATCTGCCTTTAGAGTTTTTTTTTAAAACCACAGACAGCAAGAGCTCACAAGGCTTTAGACACTGTCTGCTGCTCTTATTCAGCAGGGAGGCCACTTACCCCAACTCACAGGGTGAGCCAGAGACAGAGCCTGGACTAGCATGTGTCTAGACTCTCTTTCCCCAGCACTAGGCTGCCTTTTGTCTTAGATAGAAAAGCTGTGTGCAACTGTTCCTAACAAACTTCTTCAAGGAAATGCAGGATGCATGCATGGTCATTCTGACAAAGGCACCATTCACATTTTTAAGGGAGAAATACAGAAGGTCAACATCAGAATAATTTCTTAATAATTACATGTACACATACATAAAATCTCTGGAAATGAGACTCAAAAGTGCAACCGCAAAGAGAACTTGCACTTAGGTCCCAGGATAAGGACTCAACTCAGAGGAAGCAGCCAATTCCATTTGGGTAGTTTTTCAATGTTCCCATCTCACTCACATTCAGTAAATTTAGAAAATCAACATATTTTATTCTAAATAAAAACGATTCACTCTGTTTCCTGGGAGGAAGTAAACAGGAAACTGCAGAGCTATTGATCAGTTAAATATATATTTGACATTTTTTTTAAATTACTATTTAGATATAGTTTAATGCCCAGATTCATTTGATACCACACTTTAGACTATTATTAGCTGCTAATCTATTTTTGACACAACATACTAAAAGCAAAACCACTTGCTTCTTTCATTAGAGGAAGAAAAGAGGCATTGGAGAACTGGTGGAGACCCAAGGGAGTCATGCTCCCTTGAGATGGTTCTAAAAAGTACTAGCGTGGACTACCAGGCTGAAGTTAGGTAAAGTACAGTAGGAACCTGTAGCCAGTAGCACTGGAACCCAACCTATTCGATTTCTCTAACCCTCACATGCAAGGCTGAGAAAGCCAAGTTTAGTTTCCAAATCCTCTTACCTGCGTAAATCGTCGGACTAGACACGTCTTCCCCACACCAGCGTTGCCAATTAAAACAATTTTGAACAGGAAATCATAATCTTCCATACTCATTTACACAGCTGCAAGGCAAACACAAGAGTGTGATGGAGCGGGTTAGAACTGCCCCCAGCGTTCAGGCGGTGCTAGCCCCAGCCTTGAGAACCACAGGTCGGCCTCAGGTGAAGGGCAATCTAATGCTCCCCTCTGCTGATGGTGCCAGTTAAAAGAGGAACACGGGTGCTTGGTCACAGGTGAACTTTACCCCTTACCAGCCACTTCACATTACAGAGAATAAATGACACAGATGTCCTCTCACCTAGTAACCTTTACTCTTCCCAGCAGTAAGGCCACAGGCCACTCATGTAGTAAGATCTGTTTCCTTTAGTTGAGGGTACAGAGAAGCAGGAACAAAAGAAGAGTCCAAAGCTTAGTTTATGTCATGTGCATTGTCTCTTGGAAGGAATATACTAGTGACTAGGAGGCTAAGTCATCAGGTGGACTTATGAAGGTTTCTTTTCCGTCTCCTGTAAATCTTGGAAAGCCTGGGATCTTACCGGTGGGAGCTGTGGCCATCTTTCCCTTCTCCCACCACCCCATCACTATGCACATCCTGCCGACCATACAGCTATCTTGTTGCCATCGGGTTGACACACACTCATAGCCCACCTTCTGTTTTGTTTCCAAGGCTGTAAGTGGGGCAGAAAGAGATGTCCCATCTTTGTCCTGTGGAGTCGTAGATTGGAATCACCACAGAGGTGCTGGCCTTTGTTTTGGCAGTGCAACTCCTAGGCCACCAGAACTCCCTGCAGGACCTCCCAAAGTTCCTGACTTTTCAGAATGATGAGCTTTGGTATGACAGAGTCTCTGCCTAAGATGGCCTACTTCCCACCCTTTCCCACCATTAATACCAAATGCAAGCTTCTCTTTCTGAATATTTTCCTGCTCTTCCCCCAAAAAAGCATTACTCCTTTATACTTTCACCATTCCTGTCCTAAAAGTTTACTTGCTATATACAACTATTTGTTCAAATGTCAGCTCCATACATAAGGGGAAAGATTGTATCTTCCAACTTTATTTTCTAGCTCCTGAAACAGAATCACAAGTAGTAAATCTCTACTATTATAGAATGAGTGAATAGGCACATTGCTTAGACATAATCCTTTGCTTCTCTAACTGCGCTCAAAAGAATAGTATCTGCTCTATTTCAAAAGACTGTTGTGAAGATTCAAAATAACAAGAAATCTGCCATATAAAAAAGTCTTGTTTACCTTTAAAGTCTTATCCAGAAGTAGATGGTTCGAATCTACCAGGATGCTCCAAGGGATAAAAATGAGTAATCTCTTCCTGTGCGAATTACAGCCTCTGAAAACTCACTGGAGAGTCAGCTCTGAGTTAACTCTAACTCAATGGCTATGAGTTTCACTATGCAAAGCACCAGAGCAAGTACAGAGATGAGACTCTCAGCCTTTGAGCTCAACATTACAAAGGTTAAATAACCTTAAAAAAAAGCTAAGTAACAGTTGAAACCAATGACGGAACTCATTTCACACACACAAAAAAAAAAGGCAGAAAAAAAAGGCACAGGGGGCCATAGGAAACAATAGTCCGTGAGCCTGCGACAAGGCCACTCCTACCGTCGGATCTGATGCTGGAGTGGCTGTGCAGGGCACACAGGAGCATCCACATACATTAAAGCATGTCAAGCAGCCTGTGGAATTAATTCCCTTCATACACAGGTGATTTCTAGCCACATTTCAGTTGAACTTTGGAAAGATAAGTGACAACTAAGCTAGCATACATGCGGTGATTCACAGACTTCTACCTCAGTTCACTGGGTCCAAGAAGGAGAAACATTGCTGGGTCCAAGAATCTGAGTCCACAGGAGAGACTGTACTTGCTCTACACCACCGACTGTGCTTGACACTTAAGGACCTCTCCATTTGTCCTCACCAGTCTCTCAAGATGGTATTCAATAACACCCGGTGGCACAGTCTGTAGAGTTGTGCTGCTGACCGCAAAGGTCACGACTCTCAGTTCAAATCCACCAACAGCTGTGAGGAAGAAAGCTGGGCAGTGCACACCCAGCAGATTTACAATCTCAGGAAGCTGACTCCCAAGAAAGATGAAAGAGACATCTTGTCATTGTCAACAGTATCTCACATGGTTATCTGAAGCAAACACAGAATAAAAACTAGGCCCTTCCTTGTTTTCTTTCTACAAGAAATTACTACGCTTTGTTGACTACTTTTTAGACAAGCCTCAAGAAAAAAAGGGTCTGTTCCTTTTAAAAATGTAGGTCATCGATCAAAAAAGCTGCACTACACCCCCAAGATACCTGCTGTGGTTACAGTTTTGTTTCTAATAGAAAATACATTACTGAATGAAAAGTTCACAAGCTTCTGGGACACTGGGCTTTGAAGAACTTGGCTTCTGATTTGGTCCATAAAGTAAGAGCCCAGGCATTGCCAGTCACCATGTGATGACATGAGCATCCTAGAGGGGAAGCTCCTTTAGAGGCAGGCTGACTAGTTACACCAACCTTCTGTTTGTTTTAAACAAATCAAATCTAAGAAGTAAACATGTCTGAAACCCATGCTACTGCCCAAGCACCACTCTAAACCTTCTTGCCATGAGAGGATTCTCACTAGGAGTAATTCTATAGGACCAAGCAGAGCTGTCCTATATGGTTTCTAAGACTCAGCTTTCTTTATATGAGTAGACTTCCACATCTTTCTCCCACAGAACTGCTGGCTGGTTTGAATGGCCACCCTTGTGGTCGGCAGGCAAGAACTTTAGCCACTGCACTACCAGGGTTCCTTAACACTATTCTAGGGGTTTTCTATTTGGTCACTATGAACAACACTAGCCTACACTTACTCAATGCTTATCATACACTATGTATATGATATGTACATCGTTAGGACTGTTCAGCTCACAGTGTCCCTGTGTCTTACAGAAAGAAACACTGGATCTTACATTGTCCTTAAAGTCATCACTACAGTGCAGTCAGTGTGTCCATCTATTTTGTTAAATGTCTTCTTCTTTTACTCTGATCCTACTTTGGATGTTGTCTTTCTCCTGATCACACGTTCCAAATATGTAAGACAAAGTCTGGCCATCCTCTCTTCTAAAGAAAATTCTGGTTATAGTTCTTCTAACACAGATTTGTTCATTCTTCTTACCATTAATCCTGATTGATTAATCTAATGATGGAGATACTATTATCATCCCCAGCTTACGAAAAGAGAGCTCTAGTAGCCTAGTAGTTAAGGAGTTGTGCTGCCAACCCTAAAACAGGTGGTTCCAATCCACCAGCTGCTCCAGGGGAGAAAGATGGACAATTTTGAAAACTTGCTGGAGCATTAGCTAGCTAGGAGTGAGTTGTAACTTGAAAATATGCAGCATCAATAGTTTACTGAAAAATGTCACACAGCTACATTGTTTCAGAACCAGGATTCAAACTCAGATATAATTGCCAAAACTAGCACCTTATGAAACAGGATGCTGGCTACCTTTTCTGTGATTGACACTTTATTTGTCAGAACTAGAGCTGAAGGGACTAGAGCCCAGACCCCTTGTAACTGCAGTGTTCTAGAATCTCCCTGCTCTGGGCAGCACATCCACATGGACAGGGTGACACACTGATTCCAGAACATGCAAGTGCTTTTCTCCACTGAGCGCAGCTCTCTCTGTGGAGGTGAACCCCAGGACATGTGACCCTTTTCCCTGCCTGTCAGTCCAACAATTCATTCAGCGCTCATCCATGGATCTAAGCACGGTAGATAGCATCAGGAACAGTGCTCGGATGAATAATCCTGGGGCAAATTCCAAATACCACCATCACCACATAGTTCTAAATAAATGTATATGTGTACATATCCAAATTAGCCTAAGATTCAAATGGAGATGGAGCAGAAAAAACAAGTTTAAAAAAGAAGAAACAAGATCTGATAAGGATTTTTCCCAAAACAGTCTGAGCAATGTGATTTTGATTAACATAAACCATTTATCAAAGAGATACATTCACCACCATACCCAGCTTGTTTTCCTCCCTGCTTTTGTCGTACAAATGGTCAAACATTCCACTACTAACTGAACCCAACTAAAAAAGGCACCATTTCGGAAAGAAGCTCTTAAAGTGGAGTCCATAGTATTCTGTTCTGGTAACCAAAATATCACAGCCTTGGAACCCTACAAAGCAGCTACGCTCTTGCACACTAGTCTCTCTCTCTCTTCAATCCAGGGTGTTGTGGACTTTCTTCCAAGGACATCTCTGTATCTGTCTGCTGGAGGACACTGTGCTCTATACTGTGCCCTGCTGTCTATAGGCCCTAATATCCTTGAGGACAAAGACACACAACAAAGGCCCTTATCTCTGCGTATCCCACTACCGTGTCAATATATATATATATATCTACACTGCACTTAAAGCACTGGATCATGTTTCACTCTAACAAGGTCCTGTCTCAGGAAGCTCATTATTACTTAATTACCAGAAGGCAATTAGTAAGCATTACCACAATCAACTGCCACACACTCACTTGCTTTACATCAGCTGCTAATTTCACGTTATTGCAAGTTAATTATTCTCCTTGGCTAGGGATGTCAAAAACCCACCTGTGCCATGGCTGCTCACCCATCTGGCCATAACTTCAGCAGGCCATAACTTCAACACCTTTATATGACCCTTTACATTTAACAAAATGCTTTCACAAACATGATCTAATCGGAACCCTCAAAAATCACATAAACTGGTTCTTATCATTCACTATACAGATAGTGAAAGTCAGGTTTTGGGTCGTGAACTGACTGACTTACCCTAAGAAACACTAATAAATGACAAAATGACCTCTTTATCCTGACTGCCTACAGTGTCGACCCTTTGCAGGAACATACACTATTTTCCCCAGTTCTTGGGTATATGCACAATTATTTAAACATTTACCATATGCAGGAATTGTGCTAAATGTTACCCATACATAATGTCACAATCTTTCAGGGAGCTTCATTAGATGATTATTATTGTTAATCTCATTTCATAAATAAGGAAATTGATGTTCAGAAAGATTAATTAATTTAT